TTCCTCCCCAAGTTGATTTTAGTCAGTATTTTATCATAGCAACAGAAAGCAAACTGGAGCACTCATGCATATAATTCCAGAACTAAGGAGGCTGAGGCAGGAAAACTGCCATGAGTTCCAGACCAGCCTGGTCTACAAGTTGGTTCCAGGCCAGCCAGGGCAATTACAGTGAGGTCCTGCTGAAAGCACAAAAGAAAATAAGAAAGGAATCAATCAGTCAATCAGTCTCAGGTTCTAGGCTTCCTAATCAAAATCAGCATTTTTGTTAGGTCCCTAAATGATTCTTGCATACTTTAAAGCTAGAAACCTCCTGCCTTAAGATACTGTCCATTCATGAATGGGTTGTAAGATTGTTTCCCCTCTCGCACTTTCAAATCTTCTATTCTAAGAATATTTCTAAAGACCAGGCTAGCTAGAGATTGACTAAGTGGGTTGAGGCTTAGAGCAAGGCCCTTAAGATATAATATATGCAAACAAATCTATTTACTAATTAATTAACTTGATAGTTAATTTACCTGTTGAGCACAAGGCAAAGTGTAAGGAGCACATTCCCCTCCTGGTGAGTTAAGAGATATGCCTAAATGCCGGCCCAGTTTGCTAAGAAAAGTGGGGTGGAGGCTGGGGAGTGTAGCTCAGTGGTAGTACTTGTCTAGCATATGCAAGGCCATAGATTTGAGTTCCTGCAGTGGGAGTGGGAAAAGGATACATTCCTCTGGAATTGGGATGTTTATCTTCAGAAGCATCACAAGCAGAAATAGTGCTGGAGGCAACTCCAGGCAGTATCCACATCCTCTATCTGACTGTCTTGCCTGTGGCCTGAAATCTGTGGTTCCTCTGCCCACAGAGGGGATGAGTTATTGGGACAGTCTCTGATGACTCACAGGAGACTGATGTTGATTTCCCTACATGCTCTTCCTTCTCCAATAATGAGGACTTTCGGTGTGAGTTTTCCCTTGGAGGAGGGAGGGAGGGAGGGAGGGAGGGAGAGAGAGAGTGTTCTAGGGGGGAAGGGAGGAGGAAGTTTATACACAAACTGTCTTTTGTATATGTTTAATACATTTGTCTTAGGAAGCAAAGTCCACAAATTTTCAGTAAAGGATGGTAAAACCTTAAAAGTTGAGAGCAGTGTCTTTTTACTATCCACTTGCTGCCCTGAGTCCTGCGCTGGAGGCTCCTTTCGACTCTCCTTTTCCATCTCCTCCTCTTCAACTGACATCTCCAAATTTCCTCTAGGCTTGGTCTGATTAGTTAAAAGGAGCCTTGTCTAGATTACAGACATCTCACAGAGCCAAGGAAAGACCCTGGTCCCAACTTAACACAATCAAATAAAAGAACCTCAGACACATTAGGGAACAGAAAAACCAACTCAGAGCCAAGTCTTAACAATTGAATATTTTTCTAGATTGATAGATAAAGACATTTTAAAGTCATTTTCTGAATTTTCAATGGTTTACAACAGTTACCCCTACCATGAAAGTTCATTTTTCTTTGCCCTATGAGATATCCAAAGAGCATCAGAATATGGGGGGAGAGAGAAGGGGTGTGGGATAGACAAGTATCAATGACATCAGAATGGTTATGTTTTTGTTCTTAAAATTTAGCCTTCAGAAACCACAGACAAAGATGCACATGGTGGCACAGGCCTATAATTCCAGTATTGTGAAGAACTGCCATGAATTCTAGGTCAGCCAGAGTGACATAGTGAGGCCCTGTCTCAAAACACCAAAGCAAGAAAGCAAAACTTCAGAATAGACATGCTACTTTTGATGTATCATTTCGTTCAAACCCAGCCTTACCCATTAAAAGGAAGAGTATATGTTTGGAGTATTTTCTTAGCACCCAAATTATTTCTATATAAGTATATCATAAAATTACTTTGCAATGCAAATTTGCCTTACTGTTTCTGCTCTATAATAATTTCAGCTTATAAAATGCCTGTTGAATAGTCTGCATGGCTACTTTTTTTTTTTTTCCTTTCTGTGTCTGTCTTGCTAGACTCACGCTGAAAAAAAATTGTCTTGCTGGGATGCAGAGGCCCTGGCAAATGGAGATAAAAAGAGGGTGGGGCAGACCAGAAACCTGCCGGGAAAGTTGGGAAAGTTGAAAGAGAGAAAACACAATAGAACATTCTGAGTTGATTTCACTGATAACTCCAGCAGATGCACCATAGCAGCTGGTCATTATGGAAAGCCCAGCCCCACCTGCACACTGTGTGTTCATACTGACCAAAAGTTGCTGTTCTGAAAACTTCTTTTACCAAGCAGTTTGAGATATCATACCTTTTATTTCTAAAGACTTTAACATGTGTCTGCTCAGAATAAAGATATTATCTTATCAAACCCCAGCACAATCATTAAGTTTAGGAATACTAACATTGATAATCTACTACTGTCTAATATATAGCCATGTTATCAGTTTTCCCAGTAGCATCCTTTACCTTTTCCTGATCACATGTTGCCTTTGGCTGTGATGTTTCTTTGGTCTCCTGTAAACAGGACCAGTGTTTCAACCTCTTCATCTTTCATGTCGTTGATATTTTTTATGAGTACTGATCAGTTTTTTTGTAAGATGCCCCTTGCTCTGGATTTCTTTGATGTCTCCTCACAACTACATTCAGCTTATATAGTTTTAGCAGGTAAGTAATACGAGGTCTTTTTCAGAAGATCAAATCAGAATGCTCACAGTGTCAGTGTATCTTATTATTGTGGTGTAAACTTTAATTTTTTTTAGTTTATCTTAAACCATAAAAAATGCATAGCCAAATGTATTTCTATTCTAATTTTATCATAAAAGAAATTCATAGTGAGCCAAACTGCTCTAGTTTAGCTTGTTTGAATGCAGACCTCGCTGCTCAGTCTTCCCTGCCATCTGTGCAAATAGCTGGGCTTTTTGTGATCGTTGGTTAACAAGGTTAATCATTGGCCTTAAAAAGGCTGGATATAAAATTGCTTATATGATAAAAATCCCTCTGATCCAGGGGAATCAGAATTTCCTTGATATTGTTTAACCCAAACTATGTGCAAAATTACACTGGAATCCAGAGGCTGATTTAAGTGAACAGTGTGTTTCACTGGACAGATCTGAGCTTATCTGAAGAAACTCATGGGCCTCAATGCCTGACTTCATACTAATCTGGACTTATAAATTACAGAATATCTTTGCACAGGTCGTATATACATTTTATACTTGAGGCTCCTGTACAAGATAATGACTAAAGTTCTCCTGCTTTAGCTATTTGGAACCCACATACCCATATAGCATCCCAGTACAGCTCCCATCCCCTGCATACTTTTTTTAATCTGCAGGCCTTCATGTCTCTTTCCCTAGTACCTGAAATTTTGTCCTGATCTTCAATAACCCCAAATCTCAGGGAACACACACACATCTACTTACCAGTGGGGGTTGGATTATGTACCCTGGTTGCTCCAAAGTGCCCACAGTTTGAGATCTGTTTCTTTCCCTTTCCAAATTCAGTTCTGCTTATGTTAAAGCATACAGCTATTTATACTTTAGGAATGCAGACTCACTCTATGCAATTGCTTACTTAGTCCCACCCACACAAATGACCCAAGCATAGGACAGTACCTTGGAAGTATCCAGCCCAGAGTTCCTGTTCTACAACTGAGGACACTGAAATCCAGACAAGTATCTTCCAAAGAAGGAAAGCTGCACATGGTATTCAAACTGCAGCCCAGCTAGCTTTGCTGTGCCAGGGGTCTGGGTGGCTTTCCGAAAGCAGAGTGCTCCTTGAAGCTGATCAAGCCATCATCCTCTCTCTTGGCAAGTCAAGTGTGGGTTGTTGGCAGCTGAAAAAGGCCTTGAACAAGGTCCTTCAGTCTAGTTTACTCATTTCAAATTCAGCCAAAGAGCTGAAGCCCAGCCAGGTCCTAGAGGCCTCTAGATTTCCTCACAGATTCTCCACCAGAAGATGGTCCTAACAGAAACACAGGTCTGGAGAGGTACAGATGCTTTACAAGGTCATTCTGAGTCCACTCAATGTACCTATAAATTGGAAACCACATCCAACTCATCCCATTCCACAGAACTCATTCCATGGAAATCCTATTTACACATACCACACAGTACAATAGCTACTTGATAGGTGCCAAGGGGGAACATAAGGAAGTTTAGGACATGATCCTATGTGCTAGAAACCTGCAATAACACTACAGAGATGATGCATTATATTTAAAATTTACTAATACAAGGTAATCCTGCTAGGGTGCTCAGATGAGCGGAAATAGAAAACAGACCACTGGGAATAGAGAAAGAGACAGCCATATGGCTGAATGCTGAGGTTCCTAAATTAAATGATCTCCATGAAGTTGCAGCTTCTCTACTTCCCAGGTGTGTGACAAGTAAATTACTTAAGTTCTCTAAAGCTCTTCTACCAGCTCTGGTCATTTTTGGTGCCTTCAAAGTGTTATTGTCATCTCTGTTTGAACCATCACTCCAAGGATGCTCATGAGTCAAGGAGAGTGTGGGCTTCGCTACAACGTGAGAGAAGCACAATAATCTGCGTTGACAGACTCACGATTAGATGCTACACAAACTATGCTTGTTAACTTGGTTGGCATTTAGAAGGCAGCAAGGCCTATTCCACCTAGACCTAGGACCACAGCACCCCAACACCCGAGATCCCCGTGTCTGCCTCTAGGGCGCGCTGCCACTCAGCCGCCCCAGTCACTCTTGCGCGCGTCCCCGCCCCGCGCGTGTGCGCCGCCCAGGTGAGGAGGCGGTGGCGGGCCGCGGCTTGGGCTGGCTCCTCCGAGGGGTGGAGCGGAGAGCTCAGGCGGGGCGGGGCCAGCCGCCGCCGTCTTGGTCTTGGTGTCTCGGTCCCCACTAGCTCCGCAGCCGCCGAGGGAGGAGCGGAAACCGCCGGCGTCGCCCGCCCAAAGCAGCGCGGAGGAGCCCGAGCGC